CTTCCCCCAAACAGTCTAAAAGGAGAGAAGCTATTTAGATTTATGTAAATGGTTAAAGTTATTCTCATCAAATAGTATCTAAGTGAGAATATATTTATTTTTACCTAAAATATATATAAATAACAAATAATCTTTAATGTGCACTCTTAAGACTAACAAAAGGGTGTTCTAATTTAAAGTCTATTTAGTCTGTAGCCGTAGCGATTATCCGTTGCCTTTTATTTAGCTAATCGGAGCTAAGATTATTAAAATCAGCTAAGTCATTTTAATATTTGTAAAACACTAATAAGAACCGTTTTAAAATCAGCACATAAATTAATTACCTATCACTTAAAAAATAAGAATAAAATCTTATTTTTTGAAGGTTATAAAAATATCTTTATTTATTTTAAGGTATATCTAAGAACAATGCGTATAAAAAAATATTAAAAAGAACATAAAAAATTTAAAAAGAGAAAAATAAAATGCATTTTAATAAACATTAAAAAATACTTTGATAAAAACGAAAATAATAGAACCATGATAGAGATAAGACTAGAATTGCATATAGGTATGCCTAAGATAAAAACATTCACTGGGATATATAGTTTGTGATGAGATAATAGGTTCACGGCTAAAATTTCTTAAAGGGGTGGTCGTGACAAAAGAAATAGAAACAAAATTGGTTAAAAAATAGTGTTTATTGAATGTTCTGTTTTTATTTTCGTTTGAATGATAGAGGTTGGAGAATTTCTAGCTGCAAAAACTTATATAATCTTAATCCAACTTTCTGCCTTCTTAGTGTTACTATCTGGATTTTTTCCGTCTGTTTCTCAGTTAAGGCCTCGCGGTTCCATGATAGAGAAATCGCCTATATTAGAATCATACCCAATAAAACATTAATTGTTGTATGCTGAATATGCAGTATATAGGTTGATAGACATTCGACTTGACTATCGCTTTATACAAATTACATTAAAAAATAGAACAATTGGGAATCCTAAACGTAAATATTCTCAGCTATGCGAAATTCCTTCGCGCTTAAGTGCAGTATCAGATTCGTATTAGCGATAGCTTCAAGCTACTCATAACTACCAAGTTGGCAAACTTTAAATAGAGCATCACTTCAGATTATTCCTTCGAATTAAAAATGCAAAAAAAGAGCAATTAAAGGAAGGCTTCTCTTTGAGTTGTACCCACAGGACGGCTAAGGGCTTTAACTTATCATCCCACGCAGAAAGAGCTTTCATCAGCTGATTGTCGGATAATTAGTTATAAGTTGAATAACTGGGTCAGATGATAATTGTGAAAAAATAAAAGCAGTTAATACGATAGTTTTCGTAAACGAATGTCAATGTCGCCGAGCCAAACTTGCTTTGGAGAGTGGTCTGTTGCCACGCTAATGGTTTAAAATGAAAGTTATTTAATCTCATCCCCGAAAAGGTTAAGAATGGTATCATATAGAAACAGGAGATGACCTAAAACCGTGTATGATTTTAGGAATTAGAAAAAAGTTTTTAAATTTTACGAATTAGAAAGAGGTTTATAATTAAAAATGCGTTGTAGGGCTATAAAGATTGCAAGAGAGTATTGCGTCTTTTAGGAATAATAAAAAAATTGTTCAAAAAGGTTTGAGTACTAATATTCCTTGAATTTAGAGGAAACAATTCTCAGAATAGCGAATAGGAAGGAAAAGACGTGAGACAGCTAGGAAATTGGAAATGTTTACACTTAGATACTTTTAAGGAGAGGTCAGTAAGAAGGTTCAAGCTTTAGATTATATCTGACATTTTATGAATGTTTTGTGGGCGGTATTAAAGCGCGCCATCATCAAGATCCAATATATTTAGTGATACGTATTTATTGTTAAGATCTTTCTATGCCTAGGCAAAGAGAAACAGGTCCTAGAGGATCGCATTGTTGGATGCCTTTCCAAAATTAAATAGCATAACAACCATATTGAAGGCATGTTGGATTCCAGTAACCATTATTAATATAATATATATATTCCGAAAATTCCTTGATGAAATAAGGTGCAAAGCAACTTCGTATTATGTTGTTAAAAGCATTGCTAAAATCCAGCTAAACTAAGATATTGTTGTTCAAGTTTATCTAATAAAATTCTGTTATCGCGTGAGATGCCTTTTGTAACCACCCTTGATCCCAGTGTCAAATTGATAGAATTGCAAAGATGTAAAAGCGCCATCTTTGATCCGAGATCAGGTTAAACCAATCGCAATTGTTCGTATTCATTAGATATTTTAAGTGCAATTAATTTAGCTCCAAATAATATATAAATATTTATGAGGTTTTCCCCATTAGGGTTTTGTTTGTTACATAAAATGGTTATCTTGGCCAATAAATCAATTATGGAAGGTTAATTAAATCCTGCAAAAAAATTGAGGGAATTATATATCCAGCAGAAAAGTTTTTAACTGACTTTATTGCAATTTTTACCTTTTCCTCAGTATAAATAATAGAAGTATGATCAAAGGTTGATGAAAATTGATAAAACTCAGGGTTCTTAAATAATAGTGCCTGTTAGATTTGGGTTAATTAAAAATATTTTGAAATTCCTTTGGTATTTTCCAGCTGAAACATAATATTAAAAATTTCAAAGTCCTTTTTATGGCTATTTCCACTCTTTAATTTCCGTTTTTTATTATTTAGCTTTTTAAAACTATTCAGGAAACAATTTAGTATATGCATAAGATTACTAACGATTGGAGTCTGAGTCCTAGAGAGTCGTTTAAAGATTTTAAAATAGAGGTCTGTACCTATTAACCATTAGTCGGGATGTGGATTATTTTTTATTTACTCATTTGACAGAATCGGAAATTTATTTATTCAGGTGGATTAGGTTAGTAAATATTTTTAAAAAAGTTTTTGAAAATTGAATTCTAATAGTATGTTAGCGACAATGTGTGATTTTTTAAACTTTAAATCATTTTTTGAACGCGTTTTTATATTTAAAAATGTAATTTTATCGAAAATGTACTCCCTCATATTTGGAATACCTTGTTAATTTCAAACAAATTTGTCATGAATCTTTATACTTCATATAATTTATATTAGTTTTTTCTTAGATTTTTATATAAATTAAAGGGCATTAAAAATTAAAGAACACCGGTAAAAGTATAAATAACTTAAATATTTTTGTTTTTAAATTAAAATGGCATTAATCTTTTTTTTTAAATTACTTTTTTTCCTATAAAATATATTAGGAAAAATATTCTCAAAAGCTTACCTAATCCAAAAAATGATAGATACAAGAAAGTAAATGGCTTAGGTATAGAACAAAAAGTCAATTGAACCGGCTCCTTTAGTTGACCCACAAATCAACTAATAGAACCGACCCAGTGAGCCAACACTTCAAGCTACCAGGAGTCGGCACGGGTCAGAGAATTTTAACTAAAGTGGAGTTTTTTTAAATCTAATAACTAAAATATTCTTTTAAAGTGTTTCAAATAAGCCTGTTCCTAACAAAGATAAATTTATTCAGATCAACCACCAAAAATTCACTTATTATCTAAGGGTGTTGTTAATATATGGTAATTTGCTAAACAACAACCAAACTTATTTAAAATGCAGAAGACCCCTTTTTAATATATACCAGCAGATGTAATCATGAAGTTAGTTCCGATCTACCGTATATTATATCTCGTAGCACAGACTCGCTTAGTTAGCTTCAGGAAAAAATAAGTAATCCTTATTGGATTCGTACCCATATCTAAGCGATAAGTGATACGCATTAACCGACTAGGCCACATACGCTTATCAAAGCCTACGATTTTATTGGCGATTCTAACAAGTTAACTGCAGATTAGACGTACCTTTGGCACCGTTCATTTCATTTTTATTTTGATTAATATATTTTTATTTATATTTGTACAGTCCAGATTATTAATCTGGTTAATAAGGAATTAAACGAGGTCAATCATTTACCGTTAAATAAATTGGACTGGCGCTGGATAAAATTGGGGGTCAGTGAAAGTGAAAAGCATGAACTTATTTTTAGTTAAAAGATTTTGACAATTACAAACAAAAATCAAACTTGGTTCTTTTTAATAATACACATACCAGAGTAACTTCCGATAAAGATAATAAAAATTATGATCAGGATCTAAATGATTTTTGTGATGATGTTATTATAATTTTTTTTTAAAAATAAAGATCATTCATTACATTTTTATAATAAATTCTCTCAATTAAAGATTTTATTTATTAATATAATATAACCCTCCCATCCTCTGCGCATGTTAAGCACAGCCAAAGCTGTTTGATAGAAATCAAAAAAAATCTTTACAAGTAGAACTTACCTTATAATATAATATTTTTATTTAACTATGGGGAAAAAATAAATAAAATTGATATATAGCATTTTTTAAATAACGCGCTACTTATTCAAGGCAAAACAATTGATGGTAACGCGTTATTTTTTTTGCAAGAAAACTAAAAAAAGTAGCGCATGTATTTTTAAATAACATTTGCACCACTAAAAATTTGAAATAATTTATATTTATATGAAAATTTGATTTTCTATATTCGCATATTAATTTTAAATCAAAGTTAATTTAATACAAAAGATTGTTTTGAAATATCTAAAGCCGGAGCTGATAAATCTTTTCCAAAAATAGCAACTTTGATGTTCTGAGGAATATTTTTAAATTTTAACTTAGATATATAATTTTAAATTAAACAATATAATGTATATCACGATATCAATTTACTGTAAATTATTTTTTTAAATTTTAAAAATAGATTTACTATTACTTATAATATATTAATTTTATTAAATATTTTTGGTTATTACTTTAAATTATATATTCTAAGCATAAAACAATCATCTAAATATGTATTTGGTAAAAAAAAATGTTATTTTCCTCACAATTCTGTAATTTGTTGATGATATATATAGGTTTTTCAATATATAAATTTATCTTGTCAAGAATATTTACATTTTTGATATAATATATATTTTTTATAAATTATTCATAATCTAAATCTTTTTAACATATGACCAAATAAAAAAATATACATTATATTATATATGTAAAATTATAAATTTATCGTTTAATAAATTTGATGTATCAAATGACGAGAAGGGATGGGTGGTATCTAAACATTCAAAATAATATTAGGAATTTTTGAGGTTTTTATTAACCTTAAAAAACTTATCATTCTATATATTATTATTTTCCAATACAATTTTATTTGTGCTGTTTTGTCTAAAGAAAGTTATTGTAAGGGGAGACCGGGGTTAACTGATCATAGAGGTTGACGAGTCAGCAAATGTTTTTAATTCTGTTGATCAAAAATTTTGTATCACACTTTCTTATTGAGCTAGGATTTATTTTTAACAATATTTTATAGATATAGAATTAATAAAATTGGAAAGTTTCATTTCTTAATCAATATTAACCTAAATAAATAAGTTAGTCGTCGAGAGGTCAGTACGATATGACCCTGCCTAAAAAATCGGGCTAGAGCGGGTAAAAAAAATTTGCCGTGTAACTTGGGCATAATATTTTTTACGGTGAGACAGAACAACTTGTGCAAATTATTTCTAAGAACCAAGTCTAAAATTTGCATTTTTTTAAAATTAAGATTACCAAATTTATGTCTTTTCCCTTCATAAAAATTTATTATAGGTCCAACCAGGCAACTTGTATACAAATTTATTTTACAGCTGGAAAAAAATGATTTTTAAAAATATTCAAACCTGTTTAGGCCCAATTGTTTCAATAATACCGTAGGTTCTACTTTATTTGACAAATTAATAACATAAAATTAGATTTAACATATCCAAATCAAAGTAATTTAAGAAAATTATGCCTTCAACCTCAATGCAAAAATTTCCTAGGATATTATTTAGAAATATTATTCATATTAATTGAGTATAACCATCATTCAACAAAATTATTTCAGGCATCATAATTTAGGATAGGAAAAACAAATAAACATTGGTTGGTGATAATCAACTGTGTTACTAACATAAATCTAAATTAACCCCGAGAGTGTTGCATGTTTGCTTTTTAGTCATTCTAATTTTTTTAAATTTGTAACAAATTTAAATATTTTAAAATTTTTTTTTCCCTTTTTCAGGCGGTAAGCTCCTTCCTTTCTCCACTTTAATACTCATGCTATCTATTTTTATCTAATTTGTATTTCTGATAGTTTCTATCTGGATCTTCCACCGGAGTATCGTAATCTAGTCCATTTTATCTTGATTGACATTGAGCTTGAAAGGCCCCCGATGTCACCATTATTCTAGCTATGGCCACGAAATCGTTTGATCCTTTAATGACCCACGAGTTCAGCTGGCCGTCTTATTTGGTTGGACGAGTATCCCAGCACCCGGCTGTCCAAGCCCGTCGGTGACCGGGGTGGCATTTCTTAACTCAAACTCAGAAATTTATCATATCATATGTCTATACACATCCGTCATCGAAGAAAAACTCGAAAATTTTTAGTTCCTTAGAAGGGTTGAATGGGACCTTCTGTTTCCAAGCCTACATCATACACCACTGAGCCACCCCGGCAAATATTTTGAAATAATACATAAAATTATAAATTTATTATGGAATGTAATATTTTTTTATAAATATTATATTTGATACAATTAAACATAGGTGGGTAAAAAAAATTTCGAAAATGGGCAGGTGGGCGAGCGGGTTAAAAAAAATTTAAAACTATGGGCGGGTTAAGAAATTTAAATAATGGGCGGGGTTGAGGAAATTTAAAATTTTTGTTCAAAAACAAACTAAAAAAAATAATTGTTTAAATGATCTATAACAATATTTATTTTTTTATTGTACCAATCGTTTTTTTTTAAGTGAAGAACATTTACCTAACTATATTATGTAATAAACACAACAACAATAAAACTTTTTTCTTAGAATAAATAAACATTTTTGTCTTTTAAAAGTTTCCTTTTATGGGATTGTAATAAAACTAGTGCTTCTTCCGAACGCGGATTTAGCATTGCTGGAAGATTTTTAGAACAAAGAAGAACGTGTTTGAATCCAGAAAATGTCGATTCATTATTATTTTTGCATAATAATTACATATAATATTAATTTTACATTTATATTTTTTTCATAAATATTCAATTTGATCAAATAAATTGTCCATAATTTACATTGATTATTTTTATACTTATATTAATTTCCTAAATTATAAACTTTTTGTAGGTGTAATGCTGAAATATTTTTATTAGATACTTAAAAAATGAAAGAATTACGATAATTAATTTTTTAAGCGGGCTTGGGTTAAAAAATTTTTATAAATAATGGGCGGGCGGGTAAAAAATTTAAGACTAATGTGCAGGCGGGCGGGTGAGGAATTTTAGACAAATGGGCGGGGCGGGCGGGTATATATTTTTTTAAAAACTATGGGCGGACTGGGTGGGCGGGTTAAATTGGGCTTTTGGTCCAAAAACCCTCCCAATACAGACCTCTACTCAGGATTTTCTTATAGATAAGGAGCCCTATTAGGCCGGGTTTTCCACCATAAATTTTATTGGTTTAGGTCCATTTATTGTAGGCCTTTGGCTATATTATATTTTTATAAAAATAATTTTGGGTTTTCAGATAATTTTATATAAAAATACTTTTTCCTAAAAATGTTGAATTATAGTAGTTTTTTAAAAAAGTGACTTACTAATTTCATTCATTCATTCATTACCACGCCAGAAATTGCACGAAGTGCAATTTCATCACCCACCAGGAGTTGTAGCGTGCACCATGTATATTCACTAGTATATAGATCCTATACATGATGTATACCCGTTTTATTATAGTGGACGGTACCACTATGTAGTCAGCTAGCATAGTAAAGAAGAGAGGAGTAAGAAAGAGGGGATCTATTAGTTCCGTTACCGGCAAAATAGTGTTAAGAATTGTAGCTAATATTAATAATAATAATGTACCTGACACCTGGTTAGATTTAAGAGATGGGAAAAAATTTTTTTTTAATGTTTGGTAAGTATATCCTTGGAAGATAACGCAATGTCTATAGAATCCATGTTATTCACTATTATCATTATTATATTGAGCCTGGAGATGGTTATCATTATTAATATTCATGGTTTTAAGATTATCATTGACTTCATAATTCCTATTGCGCCAAAACATAAGTTGTCATTAGACTGGGGATAAGAGATTGGAAATAAGGCAGTGCGAGAAATAGTCTGATACGTCCACGATTCCTGCTCTAGTTTAAACCATATTTAAGCATGTATTGTAGATGTTCCTTTAAATGTTTCTTGTTTTTGCTGAGTGCAAGAAAATCTATAAACGTAAGATTGATCAAGTCCATGTCCTTCAGACATTTTGCCAGCCAATAGTATTTGGGGATTCTTCGCCTTTCATAATCCGGGGTCCACTCCATGGACGAAAATATCATATTATCTCGTGAATGTCTTAAGCAGTGGCCGAGTAATTCTAATCTCCTCAAAGGAATGAGTCGTTTGATAGGTAGGATGTCACACCTGTTCCAGAGAGTTGTGTTTGGGGTGTTGTATGGATAGTAAGTTTTAGTGATTCTTCTCAAGCACTTGTTTATGAAGGTCTGGGATGTGTTGATGTTGCTTTTAGTGTCCTGCCATGTTTCCAACCCGTATGTTAAGATGGGTAGAATTAGGGATTTAAGTCTTATTTTTAGGTTCGTAGATATCTGGTTGGACGACCATAATTTAGTTAGCTGATGATATCGGGATCTGGCCTTGTTGGTCCTCGACTTAGTATCCAAAATGGTGGTGCCTAATGACATTAATCTGGTTCCTAGGTACTTAAAATCTGAGACCGTATCTACCACATTATCCTCAAAGTTAAAGGGGTCGCTGTTATATAGAGGGATATTGGATACAATTAACTTTGTCTTTGAGTAGTTGACTTTCAGTCCGTATCCAAAGCAATTCTTGACAAACAATGACAGCAAGTTTCTTAATTTGTACTCAGAGTTAGCTAATATGCATACATCATCGGCATAGCATAGAAAATTTAGAGAGTTGTGTATGTTATTATCATATTGTTGATTCAGATATCGAGGGTTAAGAGCATGTTCTTGTTTGAAGGATTTATTCAGAATATCGTTCATTATTACATTAAATAGCATAGGTGATAAAATGCATCCTTGTTTCAGTCCTCTGTTGGCCTTAAATGGTTGTGATTTTAAGTTCAGATGTTGTGGTATCACGTTATGATTATCGTATATTATTTTTATAAGCGAAATCAGTTTATCTATTCCTATGTCCTCCAGTAAGGGCCAGATCTTATGCTGTATGATGGAGTCAAAGGCTTGACTTAGATCACATTAGGGCAAATATTGGGGACTTATGTATTCTAGCTTTCTCCAGAATAACCTTAAGCGCCATGGTTAGTTCCGTCGTGTTCCTTCCCTTCCTATATGATGTGATGGCGTTTGAGAGGTTTCTATCGATGATTGGTTTAATCCTGACGGCTATAATATACGTGAACATTTTTAGGGTAACTGGGATCAGTGCAATTCCTCTGTAGTCCTTCAGGCTAGTCGGGTTCTTATTTTTAGGGAAATTAAGTATTATCGAGGTCATCCATTCCTCTGGGAAATTGCCAGTATTCCATATCTCATTAAAGAGGGGAAGCAGTAGACTAGCACTTAAATCAGCATCTATCTTCGAAAGTTCCGCAAAAATCCCATCGATTCCGGCTGCTTTATGGGTTTTTAGTCTTTTAATGGCATTGATTATATCTATTCTGTTCAGGTTCCGATTAGGTGGTTGGAAAGGATAGTCACATAATGGTTTAGGCCACCTTGTTCTGTAAAGGTTCATTTAATGGTCTGTCCATATCGCTAATTGTTCCCTGGGGTCCGTTATAATTTTATTATTTTCAATGTGTAATCTTGGTAGAGGATTGGATTTAAAGGTAGTGAGTAACTTCTTTCAAATTCTTTATAATGATATTGTATTCATTTTTGGGGGAGAAGAATTTTTTTTAGTTTTAAATGATATTTTTGAGAACAGGCAAGTTGTGATGGGGTTGGACAATCTCCCTCCTGTTTCCGCGTCTGCAATTAACTGTGCTGTTGTGTTTTATATTTTAAAAAAACTTAACGTTTTGATTATATTATCCAATTGAATATTTAGGAAAAAATTATAGAGAAGGGGGTAATTTTTAGCTTTATTGAGACTCATAGGGTTGCCTCCATGGAGGTTTCTGCTTTATTGACTTAAGTGGTTAAGAGAGGGCCCTGGTGAATCTAAATGAAACTGTAATTAAAAAATGTGATTGCTACAATCTTTTAAAATTTAAATAAAACATTTTTATCAATATTAGACTCTAACCTAATTATTTTTGACAAACTCTTATAAATGCACCTTAATATTTCCCTTTTAAATCATATATTAATTAACATTTTTTATTTTCATTTATTTATTTTTATTTCTTCACAATCCCATTATTTTACTTTCTTTTATAATGTGCAGATTTTTTTTACCTTGTTCGACCTTAACAACATATGAAATAATATCCAGTATTGGAAATATGTACAATCATGCTAATTAAAGCATTTATTACAAAACCATCTTATTATATTTTTAATATCTAAAATATAAATATTATACTCATGAAATTATATAGGTGCTTGATATCTTTATAATACTGTATTTAAAAATAAAAAATATTTTTAATTAATTGTTACAGAAAATTAAATGCATTTTATAATTTTCAGTTATAAATATTATATATTATTTATAAAATTTGTTAATTGATATTTATATAAAAATATATCTAAAAAACACTATAATTGATATCTTATTTGGTTGTTGCAATTTAAAGACAAGGATTTCGTAACGCATGAATCAGGTTTTCGGTGAATTCCCTTTGTTGTCTTAAAAGAGACTAAGTCCTGGGTAGATGACATATTGGAAAACATCTTGGTCAATTGCAAAACGCTCCAGGTTGTGTCAGAACGGTCATTAATTTTGTTTATCTTAGGAGAAACCATGTTTTCATTATAAACCGAATTAATGAGCTTACGAACACGAATAGGGGAAGAATAGGTGTCGAAAATATTGTTTTCTTTTACTCCCGACTCGGTCTTGTCAGGGCTAGGCAAGCGGATAACTTCCTTAGAAGTAATAACATTGTCATTTGGTGTTGTCAAATTTTTGCGGTTAAGATCATTTTGAATTATATCACATTTAATAATTTCGTTGGATTTAGGATTACCATGATATGATATATATTTTGGACCGTTAGATCCAGTCAAATAAAGCCTCAGAGATTTTTCATAAACTTTTCGAGCTCGATAACTATCGACCGTTTGAAGAGTCAATTTTTTCTCTTCTTTAGTTTCTTCAAAGTACACGTATTCTTGTTTCTCTTCTTTTTTTGCCCCAAGTAGAGAACACGATGGAAACTCTAGTTTTTTGCTGAACAAGGGATTTTTATATTTGATATCAGAATTAAGTGGATTCGTTTCATTATAAGGAAAATATTTCGAAATTTTATATAATGGCGGTGTTGAAGTGGATTGATATGATGGTATAGGATAATCATTTTGGAGAAAATGTTCGTCGTTTAAAATAGAAGCAATTTCCGGATCATTATTTAAATTCCTTCTTTTGGAGGGTGATAAATAAGAAACTTTTATTTGAGCATGTGTTCTAGATATTTTAGATGAATTTTCCTTAAAATCTTTCCTGTTATAATTCTGTTGATAATCTTTGCCCGATGGAGTTCCAGATATGTTATTAACATAATCTTTAGTTCTTTGCATTCCTTTAGGACCATCATGATTAGCTAGTATAAATCTACCATGTATAATTTTGTCATTAGAGTTCATACAATCATTGTTTAGCAATTCTGTTGTATCGTGATCTGCATTTCGGTTTATAAAATTTTCTATTATAAATTTAGCTCTCATATTTTTCCCATTAATTTTTTCAATCGTGTCTGAAGATCCCTTGGCAGTACAAAGAGAAAAACTTCTGGCTGGGATTGCTTTTCTTTTGGAACCTAATTGTGATTTAGATGTCATAGGAAAATCTTGATCAACTTCGGGCTCCGTGTTATAAAGATTGCTATCGCTCAATGTTAAACCAGAATCCCGACTTGAACTAGTCAATGGCGATATCAATGATATTTTTTGAAAACGATTAGGATTAATTAATTCGGAATTGTGAGTAGAAAGAGATTCACATCTATCGTTACGACTTGGTTTGAGAAAATCAGAAGGAGGTACAAGTTTAGATCTATTGTTGTCGTATGAATAATAACGATTGGGTAAGTAGTTAGTTGTAAACATGTATATATCGTTGTGATCGGGGGCCTCCAAGCTTTCGGTCGAGGACTCCTCCTCATACCTTTCCCTTTCATCTTGAATTATAAAAAAAATTTAAAAATATATATTATGGAATAAGTCATACAATACCTATGTTCCTTAAGGGCAAACTGGTGAGGCTGTCAGAGTCTCCTAGAAGGAAAGAATTTACCCTGACTCGGGAATTAGATCTAGAATATGAATTTGAACGCGACTGAGAACGTTCGTCGCTATTATCTAAAGAACATAATTCTCTCATGGCATTTGAAGCGGTCAAATAATTATTGCCAGACATCTGATCAGATTGTCCATTGTTCTTGAGATCTTCATTCGAACTCAAACTCATAGATGTTGTGGGCGATAATAGGATTTTTACAAAGTCTGCCCTATGATTATAATTGTTGCGGCAGCGAGAAGCTTGGGAAGGACAAGGAAGAGAGAGTAATCGACTCAGGGAAATGGGTAGAGAAAGAGCAGAAGACGGAGAAGATAAGAGACCACCCGTTGTGCTCTCGGAAGTTTCGTAGTTTATTTCCCTGTTTTTCATACTAGGATCGGACTCCGGAAAAAGATGATCCTTGTAGGATTGAAATCGATACTTCTTTTCGAAGGTATCAGCATCGTTGTCGATAAAAATAGCTTCTTTACGATGATCATTTATATTTTCGTAGCCTATTCCGTAATTTTTTTCCTTAAATTTATCTTGAAGTGTGAAATTTTTAGGGTCCATATTTTGCTTTAATCTACTATTATCCAAGTCACAGTTAATTGTATTATCAGTTCTAACCTTTAAACCAGCAGCGGAGATTATTGCATTTGCTCTAGATAAGCGCTTCAAACGATTTTGCGATTTGCGGCTATGGTTGTTGCGGTGCATTTGAACTAAATGGTGTTTATTTTTTGAACTGTTATTAAATTTTATTTTAAAACTCGAACTAGTGCAACTACTAGAGTCAGGTTGAAGGTATTCCACATTGTTTATCATGTATTCTAATAATAAAGGAATCCACTTGGTTCCGTCTTTCATGACTTGCTGGTCTTCATATTGATTGCAATTATCAAAACCATGCGTGACATTTTGATTATTTTTATTTTGGTCTTTGTCTTTATTGTTGTTGTTAAAAGCAATAGGGACCAGGGCTAAAGCACTGAAACTTTTTTTACCTTCTTGTGTAGAATCATTAGAGATGTTAATATGGCCAAAGTGAAGAAGTTTAGATCGCTTGGGACCGACTACCAGGCAAGGGTTAGATATCGATGCAGAAGATTGCTCCCATAATAGACTGGGCCCAACGCATATGGACATATTCGCGCTGGTCATACTGTTGTAGACCGAATTATCGTTAATCAATTTAAATATCTTGAGTGTATGGGCTAACAGAAAACGATTGTGGCTTGGCAATTGAGAGTACAAACTAGGGGAGATAAATGTTGTATGTATATATTATATTATTTCTTAAGATCATTTAATTTTGGAACTGTTCTAACACATCTCTTATTATCTTAAGATTATTAAGTTATATTTTAAAATAAAAATAATAAAAATTGAAAAGACAACTTTAAAACAATTTTTAAGCATAAAAAACTATAAAATCTTCTATATTACTCAAAGCGAATATGACTTGATTGAAATTTGTAATATAATTGTTTATATTCAGCAATCATAATTTATATAGATATTTACCCTTTGCATTTAGTAAATTTTTCATGTTCATTTTCAATGCTCATAATGCGGTGCCATTTTTCGTAAAGATGGCAATCCATTAAACCGTTAGGAATATTCCTTAAAAATTCCTAATTAGTTACAAAAAATAAATTATTATAAGTAAACAATATTTGAAACGATTTCATATAAAATCAAATTTAAAGATATATGATTAAAAAATAAAAAATTAATGTGAATATAATTACTTTAAAATATTTACAATAGTGTACATCGAAAAATAATATTTTAACAAACTTTAAATATAGAAGAAATGGCTAGCATAGGAACATCATCAAGATTAACGTCTGTTCCGCGGTCGAGTTGTTCTTTTAAAGTTTTGCATAATTTAGCACTGGCAGATTTTCTAAATATGCCTATGGTGTACGGCCCATAAGTGTACAATAATTGCAAAATTTTCTTCATTATTTTTATGTGCATAAAAAATTAAAATTAAAAAATATATATATAAGTTTAATGAAGAATGTTCAAATCCTAATTTTTCTATAAAACATTAGTAGGTGACAAAAATTAAAATATAATTTATCTCATCCCTGAGTAAATTTTAACATTATTATTATTATACAAATTAACATTTTCATATTTATTACTTGATAAAGAAAATATTTCGTTTTTTAATGTATCTAGAATTTTAAGCTCCCCGCACCCTTTCCCCTTATCCCTATCACTAAGATAGCAACGATTCAAATAAAAAAATTTAATTCAATATTTAAAAAAAATCTAATCTGAAAAATTCTAACTTTAATTGGCTTGGGAAATTCATTATTGCTAATCATTATTTCATTAAGATGCTTATTAAACAATTTGCTTTTTCTTCGATCCTTAAATGTCTTGTCGTCAGATCGTTCTGCTGTAGAGGTATTGCAATAATTTTCATGACCTTGACCAACCCCATGTTTATTTTCATAGGAAAGCTGCATGGGTCTGATCATATTAAAATTTGTTAGTCCTTGTATAGATGGAATAACTGATTTATTACCTGAGTCGTTTTTAATAAAAAATTGAGTATATAAAATTTCAAAAAAATAAAAATGCTATTAGATTTAAAGATTGTAATTTCATCTTCCATACTTAAATTGTCGAGAACCATCTTTTTATTATCAAATTCTGTATTTTGAAGAATGACAACTAAAGGTGAAATCGTCTCACAAGGGTTGCATATTGTGCGGGACGCGCATTTTTGATCTACAAAATGTTTAAGAGAGCTATGTCTACCAGATATGCGGGGAATCAATAAATTGCTGATTTTGTTTGAGGATTTTTTAAGTCGATATATACCATTTTTGCTTTTAGTCGATATGAGTTTACCTGTAGATTCAATGATAAAAATAATTTTTTCAGTGTAATCTGTCCCATTTAAGTTTAGAATATTTTACCGAAATTATCTAAATTACTAGTTGTTTAATGTATATAAAATTATTCTCAGATTGTGTGGTGTTGCATGGTTGGATATTTTTTAGAAAAATTTTTGGCCAAAACTGGGAATATGCTCAATTAAGACAAATATTTAATAATTGACAAGATTTTACTAGATTGAAAAATAGGTTAAAGATTGCACAATTATATTCTCTCAATTGCAAAATAAAATTTTCTGGTTAATAAAAATTAAAATATCAAAGTATTTATGATAAAGCTATAAAATTCTTTTTATGATTAATAAAATACTTTGTTTGATTTTGAGACTCAAGAACTTATTGTTAGGGTACCACACTTTGGTGTGATTATTAGATTGAGTCATAGTATTGATTCTCAAAGAAAATTGACAGTCGCTGGTAGACGTGTTACCTTCCAGTAGTTGTTGCAATTGGAATGGTGACAAGGCAGATGAAGGAGGGGAATTATAAGTTTTCAAGTTAAAATCTAAAATATTTTTTTCAGCTTTTAACGATTGAAATGGGATTGTATTTTCGTTAAAAGAAATTTCATTGCTAATCAGCTCTTTGGTTTTTTCTGCGTGAATTAAGCGATTTAATTTCCGAGTATATATGGTGGAATCATCTTTGATGTTTTCTTCCATATTATTACTAGCACCTACATATTTTTTTAGATACGTTTGATTTAATTTCGATTTTGATATAAGAGTTGTGATACAATAGAATTCTATAAACACTATATCCTATTAAAAATACCTAATAAATAGAAAAAAAATCATACAATTTCAACACATCCTTCTTCAAATTTAATGAGAAAAAATAGAATAAAATAAAACCAAAAATTATTATAAAAGCATACTCCATTACCTTCTATTGCTGCATCTCTAACAGATTCGGTTTCAACATCCTTGCCTAAATCATCATGAAATATGTAGGATATTTCATTAAATGGTGGCAAGAGGGGGGTAACCTTTTTATCGACTGATAATACATTTCTATCCAATAACATGGCCCTCGTGACGTGATTGGTAATAATGGCGTAAGGCCTTTCGTGCCCTATAAGCATAATTGAGCTATTTTGAATTTGAACCCATAAATGTATTTCTTGATTATTAATCTCTGGAAAGTTGTTATCGTTAGTAGAAATATTAATTTTTGACTTGGATATATCGTCCTAAAACACATAAATTTTGGATTGTATTATTCTCCGTTTAATTAGGGAAAAATGTTCAAATTAGATAAATATAACTACTTAACATTAACGGTGTAAAGTTTATTTATAGCTTATTTTAGTCATATTGTGACCTTTTTCAATAATTAAATAAAGAAAGGACACTATCTTTTTGAAAAAAGTCACATTACGTTTAAAAAAGTAACACTAAGTAATTAAAAAAGTAACACTAAGTAATTAAAAAAGCTATATTAAATAAAATTTTAAGATTAACCGCTTTCTTTAATGATTTTTAAGATATTTTGATACTAACTATTTTTTGAATAAACTTATGGAAGTAGCGTAATTATGAAAGAAGGGGGTGGGGCATCTTCCCCCTTACCCCCATAAAATATTTTCAAAAGTCACCAGGTAAAATTAATTATATCAAAAATAGCTTCATAATTGTTTATTATAAAACTTGTGAAAAGTTGAACAGTTTCATCGCCTTCTTTAAACACTCGTCAGCGGTGTGTTGAGATCCAATGCGCATGGTTTTTGACTATATTTAAATATGCATTATATATTAATAATGCTTATTATATGATTGAATGAGTTATTTCATATTCAGAATTTTAGCAGACATTACATGATTGCAATTACAAATTAAAAAAATTTCGTAAAAAAATAGTGAAGTAAGAATAGTATTATTATATAATATATATTAATTTTAAAAATTATAATATATATAATATATATTAAAAAATAATATCATAGAAACAATCAAACTTTTATATGCGAATTTAAATTCCAATTAAATATTTTGAGAGTTGTAGTTTTAGGTTCTTCTCTTGCACATTGAATTTTAATGGCACTTAAATATATAAATATTACAAAAATTAGAATAGATAATAATAATTAATCTAATAGTTTTCAATTTGAATCGATACGATTAGTATATCTATTAAACTAGAGAAACTTAACCCTTAGCTTACTAACTGAATCCAATGGACCCAGTCACTATGATTAATTGCTTTATTATAAAAATTTTATTATTATTTTATCGTCCTGCTGTTAGTAAAAGAAATCCGAACGTTTTCCCAAAGCGATTTATGAGCCATATTTCTAGTAATTTTTTATTTATTCCCAAAAAAGGTAATATTTTGTTTGATTTTTATTAACAATTAAATGGAGTCTGAAATCTTACTTTTTTAAATAATATTATATTGTATAAAAAAATAATTTGACAAATTATTATCTTTTGTTTAGAAATAAAAAATACTGGAAACACGCCTCAAAAACCGCTTTGAAAAAATGGTCTGCTTGGAAAAGAAATTTTTGCAATATTATTTTTTTTATAACAATACGCTCTAGGCCAATCAAATCTATTCTCTTTGTCTAAATTAATTTTATTAAAAATTAGGCATGTCGATATTTCTATAATTTTTTAGTAAGATCTCATGCAAAAAGCGATTCTGATGTTGCCACATTCAACTCATAAAAATGAGCTAAATGAGGTGTCATATCAAACCTTATAAAGCTGTAAGAATTTTTTCGATATATCTGAGAAAATTACCGATAATGCAGATCAAATCGAATTCTTTGTATCCAAATATGTAAATGAAAATTATTATTCAAAGAATGTGGCAAAATTATTTTAAAATTATTCGATTCTCAATCAAGAGTTCTAATTTATATATTTTCTTTGAGTTCCATTACTCAAATTATATGCCGCGGTCAAATAAAGAAGGGGAAAAAATTCAATATAATTGTGTGAAATTCATTTGACTAAAAGTAATATCTAATTAAAAAAAGCTAGTTGTACGATTCGCCCACTATAGATGAGAGAAAAACATAAGCATAAAAATTTGTAATTAACTTTCAAATATATTCTGCCCATATTGTAAAAAAATTTTCTATTATTTTCATAATAATGTGAAAAAGTAAAAGGTCTATTATTTATAAAGGGTAATTGGAACTGGTTGGCAGTAATATTACACTTTTTGTCTGATAAGCTGAGGGTTAAACTAACTTTTCATAATTATTATATTTTTTGTTTGGTAATATAAATTATAAGAAAATCATTTTTTAAGAATATAATTTAAAATATTCTGAAGGAGCATGAATCTTATAAGTTTTTTTGAAGAGAACCAGAGCTCTCTAGACCAAGGGTTTCTATCATAGGGAAGGGGGGTATGACATAGGATCATCATTGAAATCGAAGGAGCATTTATGAAGAGGCTATCGCTATTTAGGTAGTGGGTAGGGTAGTTTTGATTTGGATTTTCTTTTTTACAATTTAGATTTAGTTGGGGCTAGAGGGTAAGGAGGGCTAAGAGTGTAAGGGGGTTTGCTAAACGGCTAAACCAATATTTTAGCCCACTAGATTTGTTAATAGATGTCCAGACCTTTCATCTATGAGCATCTTTAGGCTTGCGTAATATTTTCAAAAATATTGGGTTAGCCATTTTATAAAATCGAGCCTTTAAAAACACTGGGGGTAAATAATCACTAGCTTAGGACATTGTAAAGTCGACCCCCTACGACAATAAAGTTGAGAACTTCCTATGACGAAAATAAAATTAATACTGACTATGTTTGTTGAGTAAGAGAATACTCTCCTCATTCCCCGATAATATTAATTATGCAATTGATTCGTACTCTCCGTGTAAGAAAGTCCTGAAGATTACAATATATTTTCTAAGATTGCAATGAATATTTCAAAACTATGTTAAGTTTCATTAGTTGATACTTAAATAAAATATAATACTTAGAAAAGCAGGCATATAAAACATAAAAATATACTTTGAAAGATGGCACCACCAGGTATTTCGTGCATCTTTTGATCTAATTTTTTATTAAAATATAAATGTTCAACTAGGAATAAAAAAGTTAAATTTTATAGACTACAAAATATTTGATTAGATTTTTTTAATAAGAAATGGGCAGTAATATATATATATATATCAAAATAAGCACAATTTTAATTAAATGGATACTAAAAAATAATTTGGCAGGTATTTTAAAATTCTAGTTAGTAAATAATTATAATTCAATTTTTTTTAATGACTTGGACAATATTTATATTAAATGGGCAGTTTAAAAATCATTTGATAGGTATTTTAGATATTTGGCCATTAATAATTAATTTGAAGTTTTTTATTAACATGGGAAGCTTTCAATTTTTTGAACCCTAACTTTATAAGTAGATTCAGGGACGAGAACCCGAACCTAAAGCCTGAACCCGAACCCTCAATATTTTGGCGAACCCAAACCCTTTTTTAAAATTTAGGGTCAGGGTACAAGTTTTTTTTTTAATTTTAAAAAATTTATTTTTTATTATTTTAAACTTTTATTTTATTTATTTTAAATTATATGTTATAAATAATATAATATAAAAAACATGTAATTTAGGATTTTTATTTATAAAAGATTTCCTATTTAAGAAGAGTTCTTATTCAAAACAATTGTTTTTTTATTCAAAAAAAATATTAATTTAAAAAAAAAAAAATTTTGGGTCATTTTTCATATAATTATTTTTGTTATATTAATAATTTTTTAAATTGTATTGTAGTATTATATCGTTCTTCTAGAATTGGAGTGCTCCACTTATGCAAATGTTAAAATGAGAAAATCAGCATTAAAGTTTAAAATTAAATATAGGAAAAACTTATTGATCAATTTTGACATTACTTTGGCAAAAATTAATATTTTTTAATCTAGTTTTTATTTTTATATATATTGGGAATAAATAAGTTATTATCCACTTCTAATTCAAAAATTTTGAATATTTAAAATGAGAAAATCAAAATTAAAGTTTAAAATCAAATATAGGAAAAATTTATTTATCAATTTTGACAATAACTTTGGCAAAAATTAATATTTTTTTAATCTAGTTTTTATTTTTATATATATTGGTAATAAATAAGTTATTATCCACTTCTAACTCAAAAATTTTGAAAATGTCGAGTGGAGAATTCAAATTCTAAACCAACGATATTATATAGTATTGATGATAAATATTTTTATGGCGATACTATATAAATAAATTTTTTTTAAAAAATGATGTTTCTATTATTTTAACTAATTTTAATAAGTTATTATTTTTCTGGTCTCCGAACCCTGAACCCACCTGAACCCGAACCGGGTTCAAAGATTTTTCACTGAACCCAAACCCGAACCCATATTTATAGGAGGGTTCTCGTCCCTGAGTAGATTTGAGTAAGCTCAACCATAATAAACCAATGGAGGATTGTTCATCTGATTACTATAAACCTGGTATTGGCAGGAATTGAAAATAAAAAAAAATCAAACTTATATCTGGATTAAAATGGCTAGATAAATATATAAATGCTTTATATAACTTACACCTTGCACCATTAATGCATCAGAAGTAAGAAAAGAGTAATTAATGACAAAATATAAGAGAATATTTACAGTTCTCTCATCATATTTATATAGATGTAATGTAATATTAGGTCACAAATTTAGGGTCAACCAAATGTAACGTTGTCAATACATTGTTATACACGAATAAATATAAGGGCTTAAACCAGGAAATTGGAGTTATACATCCATCCTTAGTTACGACCCCGATTCTACAAAGAACATATTTTCGTATATGTGAACTATAAATAACTATTAAAAGGTCGTAATATAAAATCAAACTTATATATAGGATCTAAATTTATAATTTGTGAGCCTTATTGTAATATTATATATTATTTTAAGTATAATATTACTTAAAAGTGATGATTGAGTTTATAAGAGGCCAGCCAATAACAAATGACAATAGTTTAGATTCAGGATCAACATCGCCTATTCCGTGAATGTATTCCGTTATCCACATTTCGGCGACCCGTATTTTCTTCTTGAGTTGAAAAGCATTATTTGCTCTGTTTTAACATATAAATAAATTTAATTTCACTTAAAAACAATTTAAGGTTTAAAAATTAACAAAATAAAAAACAGTGGTCCCTACAATGGGGAGATTGAGGACGAAGGACTGGTTTTTAAAATTGTTTAAAAAAATTTTTATTTTTAAAAATTTACAAAATGTTCTCAAATTATCTATACAAAAAAAATACAGAAAAAGGAAGAACAGAAGCTTTTCAGTTATAGTTGATGGTACATATAATGTTTCGAAATCCAAAGCAATAACTTTGTTAGTAGGATATATTGAAAATAGTGAATTGCCTAAGCTAGTTGAAAGATTAATAGATATATTTTGTGCGGGTAACACGACTGGGCTTAATATTCAAAAAATATAATATGAAAACCTAGTTTATTGATTTAAACATGAGTAAAATGATAAATGAAGTACAAGCTTTGATTAGAGCTGAGTCCCCAAAGACAGCTTATTTAGTGCTATTGTTATCGATTAAATTTATTCATTGTTTAATTATGCCAATCGATAAAAAAAACTAAGTAATGTTTTAGGAATCTTAGATGAGATTACGTGTATTTCACATAAAACGGGTTTGTTCGAGCTGGGATCTAATTGTGTATATGCCAATTGCAAGACTTTTTTAAAAAGGAAGTTCTAACTATTTACTATAACAATCCTTTTATTATGATCATAAAGTTAACATATAATAGAATGTTAATTATTATAAACTATAAAATTTTGTATTAAACCTATGCAGTTAATATTTTGAGAGACATTGCAAATTTCATTTGGAACTGTTTAAATGCAGTCAAAATTATGTATATAAATATTATAAAAAGTTTAAACATTTAGAACCGTTTAAATGCAGTCAAAATTATATATATAAATATTATAAAAAGTTAAACTTAAAAAAAATAAGCTATCGCATAAATGTGTAAAAAAATAGAGTTTTTTTCCAATAAAGTTTCGAATTTTATATTTCAACTGTATAATGCAAAAATTTCAAATAATGACTATAATAAATTAATATAAGGGAGACAGGATGGGATGATATCGTATTTATTAAGAAGTATTTTTTACTTTTATGATACATATATTAATAATTTTGTAATGCCCAAACTATCGAATAAATATGGTCTGAGTGTCCATAATAAGTAGAATGTGTGCTAGGGCATCTTCATATAGTAACTTTGATATAAGGTGTTAGGAGGTAGGTTGATATATATAAGAATTAATTCTATTTTTCATAAAATCTCTAATATAATATTAAAGTAAAACAACACCTTTTGATAAACACGATACTAAAATTTAAACTGTCTAAAGCTAGGCAGATATCAGAATAATTTTTTTATAGAAATATAAAATTGGAATAAAAAGATTTATACAATTTTTTAATATTTCTAATTATGTTTTTTTTTCTCTTTAGCTTTCACCTTTTCTGGTGGTAAGCTCCTTCAACATCTCTCTCCACTTTATGTTATTCGTACAATCTCTTTTATCTATTTTATACTTCTTTATATTGGCTCTAACTTTATGGCCCCATTGAAGTTTTGGCCTTCCTCTTTTACGTTTGCCCATCACTTCCAATCTTTCAACTTTATTTCCTATGTAGTTCATAGGCCTTCTCATTGTGTGCCCATACCACCTAAGTCTGTTTACCATTAACTTAGTCTTAATGGGCACTACCTTTAAACTATTTAGTATTCTTGTACTGCGCACCTTATCCTTTCTTGTTACCCCAGCAATCATCCTCAGCATTCTCATCTCCATAGTTTGTAGACTTCTCTCGTCTGATTCTTTGGTTGGCCATGTTTCCGAACTATATAGAATAGTTGGATGTACTATGGAACTGTAGATTTTTCCCTTTAATTTGTGTGGGATTCTTTTGTCAAATAGCACTCCAGATAAAGATCTCCACTTTAACCACCCTTGATTAATCTTATTCTTTATCTCTTTTTCTATTGTGCCGTTTGTTTGTATAGTGGAGCCCAAATATTTGCAGCTTTCAATTGCGGATATCTGCCATTCATTTATATCAATGCTCTCTGTTTCATCTCCTCCTATCACCATATACTCCGTCTTTTCTCTATTTACTTTTAATCCGTGCGTTTCTAGGATATTTATCCAATTCACTAACCTTTCTTTCATTTCATCCTTGGATTCGGCAAGTATCACAATATCATCTGCAAATATCATATTCCACGGGACTGTTTGAGGTATAGACTGTGCTAACTACGGACCATTGTTGTATGTCCCATATACATATCCTCTATTATTCTTATATATTTTTCGGGAACTTTTTTGTGGCGTAGCGCCCACCAGATAAGTTTTCTTGGGATTCTATCGAAGGCCTTTTCTAGATCGAGAAAGACCATGTGTAGCTTTTTGTTCTTTTCCCTGTATTTTTCACTCATTTGCCTAATTGCATGGATAGCATCGGTTGTTGATCTTCCAGGCATAAAGCCAAACTGTGTCTCTCCTATTTCGATTATATCTCTTAATCTTTTTTCTATTATTTTTTCGTATAGTTTTAGACAGTGTGACATTAGTTTCATGCCCCTGTAATTTTGACAATTGTGTGGATCCCCTTTATTTTTGAAGATAGGAACTAGATAGCTCTGCCTCCATTTTTGGGGGACCTCTTCATTTCCAAGTATTTTATTGTACAGATTTGTGAGGAGATGTATTCCATCATCTCCTTGGAATATCGTCTGGACCCCTAGCTTTGTTGTTTTTCATATGCTTGAGGCATGTGATTATTTCTTGTTCCGTTATAGGTTGTACAAGGTTTTGACAAGGGGAGTGTTCGTCGAGATGCAATATGTGGGAATTAAAGTTGAGAAGCTCCTGAAAATATTCTTTCCATCTATTCATTATTTCTTTTTCCTTTATTATCAATTTCCCATCTTTATTTTTCATTACTTTCGGCGATCCGTTTATATCCCTAGAGTTCTTTTCTCGCTGTTTGGCTAATCTGTATATTTTATTTTGCCCTTCAGATTTGGCCCTAGCCACCGCCTTTGTAGCTAATCTCTTAGATTTTTTGTATCTTGACTTGTCATCTGCATTTTTGGATTTGTACCATATTTTATAAAGGGCTTTTTTCTCCTGTATGTGGTTTGTACCTCTTGATTCCACCACCATAGTTATTTGTGTGATTTGTTGCCTCCTCTTGTCAAGCCTAGCGTCGATTTTGCAGTGTCTATTAATCTGGATGAAAGGTCTGTCCATATTTTTTCACTGACTTGTGAGCAATTTATTGTTTCAATGTTTGCATTGATTGCAAAGGCATCTGTCATTGTTTTTAATTTGCCCCATTTGATGCATGGTTCCAGTTTTTTGAGATTTGTAGTTGCGCGGCAATATCTTCTCCTGGGATGACTTTGCAGTCTATTACATCTTTTAATCTTCTGCGAGAGATTAGCATGTAATCTATCTGTGTTTTCCTAGTACCACTTTCATATGTTATTAAATGACTGTCTTTTTTCCTATAGTAGGTGTTGGTTAAGGCAAGGTCGAAGGCTTGCGCAAATTTCAGTACGTGCTCTCCTTCATCATTTCTTTCTCCGTATCCAATCTTGCTTTCCCCACATGCGCATTTAAGTCACCACCAATTATGACTAGGTCATCCTTAGGGATTTCCTAAAGTCATCTTTCTCTTCTTCCTTGCAACCCGTTTGAGGAGCATATACTGATAGGATGTGTAGTATTGATTGACCAATGCAGAGTTTTATCCTCATTAGTCTATCAGAGATCCTGTTGACTTCTACAACTGAGGAGGTTAGATCTTGACTGAGGATGATGCCGACACCGTTCCTATTGCTAACAAGTCCATTATAGTACAATTTATACCCATCTCCAATCATCAAAGTCTTCTGTCCTTTCCATTTCGTCTCTTGTATGCACGCTATATCAACTTTTCTCCTGTTCAACATTGATGCCAATTCTCTCGTCTTACCTTTAAGCGTCCCAATATTCAAACTTGCCAGTCTTGTCTTCTTTGCTTTGACCTTTACTTTATTTTTCACAGGATGGAGGTCTACACCCTGCGCGTCGCATGAAGGGAACGCCCTAGCTTTCATATTCATATTTTCATTTGTGTCCTTCATTTTGTTTATTGGAAAGGTATCCTTAGCACCCGGCTGTCCAGGCCTGTCGGTGACCGGGGTGTCATCTCTAAGCTCCGAAATTCATCATACCATATGTCTTTACACATCAGTTATCGAAGAAAAACTTGAAAGTTTTTATGGTTCTTACCAGGATTGAACCCGCGTCCTTGTTCATACTCGTGTTTCCAAGCCTACATCTTACCCATTAGGCCACCCCGGCGATAATATTTCTAATTATGTATTTATATTAATTTAATAAATAGTATGACAACTTTCTAAGCCCTATAATTATATTAAAATACATTTTATTACTAAATTTGAAATATTTACCTAATAAAGTTAGCCAGGTGTCCTATTCTAAGGCATAGTGCAATTGCAGAAACTTAACTAGCACCAAAACGATGATAGTGATAAGCTCAATTTTTTATTATTATTTTGTATTCAAATGATGAGGCTATTCAATACCATATTTTAATCATATATGAATATAAAAATTCCGCAGTAATAGTGCAAAATATTTCTGTTCCATAATCTGCCTTTCCTATATTTATATAATACTTTAATAAAGTTTGCGATAATATCTTTTGTTCTCCATTTTTTAATATTAAGTTTTATTTTGGTGAAAGGAAATTACTATTATTGCAGAATTATGTATTCCAGAAGTCTTAGATTATTAAAATTAACACTAAAATTATTATTTTTAAATCTTAAATGAAATAATAGGGGTGCTAATCCATTATTCAAAATTGGTGTTAATTTTTTTAAGAGGGCGTTGCAGCTTGGTCTAATACAATTTGTGGCAACGTAGCCTTCTATCCTTTCACCCAGACCTACCTATTAAATTTATGCATACTGCGCATATTTGCCCTCAAGAGATGGCTATCAATAAAATTTATCAAAGCGGTTTTTAAAAAGTTCGAGTTTCTTTAAAAATAATAAAGCAAAAATTTAATTTCGATAAATTATTATCAGCCAAAGGCAGCTAATTCGAAAAAGTGTTAAATTTGCGAGAAAATTTTAAATTCCTTATCGAATTTATGAAAAAAATTTATATTCAATACCAAAATATTAAATAAATAAATTAAAATAATATATATATTTTATCATTTTTCCCATATTATGTATCACATATAAATATTTATAAATAGGCATATGATTATACTTTGATTTAACTATGATGAGCCAATCATCGAACAAAAATAAATATCGGGTTTGAGTATGATTGCCCTGTATAATTGATAATAATTTTCATTAAACAATTTATAAAGTTTTAAAATCCAAATATTAAAAAATCTTAAAATTTGTAAAAAAAAAAAAAGGAAAATTAACTTGAGTGAGAGTAGCAAAGCCCTCGGTAATATAACTCCTTGAATGAGATGTGTTACTTGATTGGTAAAAATTGAAAGAAAATATCTGTTCATCTTGATCATTCATCTTTTTTTCTTTACATACATTTCCGTCGTAGGGTCTCTCTCTCTTGACGTGTGACTGGTTAAGGGGCATTTTTACAATTTACAATCAGTATTGAGTTATACTATTCATTCTTCCATTAGCTTAGAATTTATCTCCATCTTATAATTAATATTTGAAATTATAAAAGTTTATACTAATTAAAAATAAATAAAACCAATAATTTATGAAATGATGCATAATATATAATTTTTCACACCTTAATCACCCTCAAATAAAACACTCAATGTAAAATTGTTTTATAATATTGCGGATTATAACCTTTTTAACATCCATGTTTATTTAAATATAAACAATAATAGAATTGTATACATAATCTTGTATTTAAAATACAATCGAATTACTGTTACTGACATAATATAATAAATCAAAATTTTTCACACCTAGTAAGATATGTAAAAATCTTTTTTATTTGTGTTGTAATCTCTTCAAATTATAAATAAGACAAATTATAAGGATAATAAAAAAATTATATATAGAGCATTTTATGTTAAGATGAAGAAGGCATGACATCACAGTTATATGACAATGTTACACAAAAAAAGGTAAATATGTTCAAATATGTTTGTTTATATCTAAATTATAAATGTTTTTGTAACCATTTATCTATCAATTTAATAATCTAAAATAAAAATGACTTTATTACTGTCTATATGCTATAATGTAAATTAAAGTTGTATACATATAAAATATAATAAGAATAATGATAAACATTGACTCCCTTGTTTTGTCAATTACTAATAATTAACAGGCAAATATTGTTACAAATAGATATTGTAAGATTTAATGAACTTTTGACTCAATTAAAGAATATAATATAATATATATTTTTTCTTCTTTATTACAATTATATTTTTAAGTATAATATAATATTTTTATAATAAGTCTACTTTCTTATAATATTCTATTTATTTTTATATTATATAATATTATTCTTGATATATAAAAGTTTTTAAGTTTTCCTTTTTTCACCTACTTTAAAGTTTTTTTCTATCATTATAAAACCTAAACAATCCTTTTATTATGGCATAATTTGACATTTCTAATATATTAATTTATTAGATTAACAGTTTTATCTTTTAAGTTATTAAAACTATGATTTGAGTTGGATCTTAAGCGAAAATATTATTTACTAATTTAAACAGCAAAACCAAAATTGATAAAAAGTTTATTTGGTATCTAATATATTTTACCATAAATTGGTTATAAACTCTGGAGGAAACAGGCGTTTTTCACAATGAAGGGAAGAGGAAATTGACTCAAGATTGTTATTAAAATTAAAGGAGGGTAAGGGTAGAATGAATGTTATTTTGCGAATTCTAATTTTATAATTTTCCCTTTTCTGCCAATTTAGATTTGATTGGAAGGAAAAGGGTTGGTGTAAATTTAGGAATTATTTTATTATATTAGAACGAATAATGAAGACACTATTATCGATAATTTTTAGACATTATTATTATATCCGATTTAGAAACTTGTAAAATAAAAAAAATTTTGAACCCCCTTCCGACCCAATTCAAAAAATTTCTAGAAAAAATATTTTTTTAAGTATTTGGATTAATCTAAAAATGAGAAAAATTTTATACAATCTAACCATAAATATTTGATCTCGGATTAAATACAAAATTATAACAAAAATATATCCAAATACTTAACCCACCTAAAAAAAAATCCTAACCAGATCTAATCCTCGGGTCAGGTTGGTAGGTTTTGAGATTAAGTTGGGTTTTCAGACTTCTAATTCGATTTAAATAATTGTATTTCTTATGCGTAAAATAAAATTAAATTATTAGTATTTTCAGCTTAGGCCTGGGTTAGAGATTGATTTTAAGAAGGCATCAAATCGTTTTTATGAACGCAATTTTTTTGAATTAAGCTTCACATTTAAATTACAAAAAATTATGAATGTATAAAAAAATTTTGGCGGGAGAATGAGAGGCACCCGCCCAAATGATAGGATCTGGTGAACGATAATAACCTAATTTCTTATTTCAGCGTTATTTTTGATAATTACTATTTTAAAAGAACTGAACCAATTTAATCAAGATTTAAAAATCAATTATTTTATTTTACAAAATATGCAACATTTCGCTTATATGGTGGTTTTGTAGTTGAATACTTGGAAGAGATTAAAGTTATCGATAAAATTGATGGTTTTTATTTGTGATTCTATATCAATAAAAAAAATCCTTAAAATATGTTCATCTAACTTATAACTTTAAATTATTTATACGAGATAATAGTTAGGTTAGGAAGAGAATTAAAAAAACCCCTAAAGAAAAATTTATAATTTTTTATTAAATAAGTCAGGTCATTTTAAAAAGTGTACTACTATTTTATTAATTTTTTTCATATTTATGAATAAAATTAGTTTTATATATATACCTTTTTATTCATCTATACCTTTTCCTTCATTACTTATACCTTATATCATGCCGTGATTTAAATATATTTTCTCCTTAAAAAAATCAATTTTATACTAAAAAAAATTATAAACTTTTATTTATATTTTTAATATATTTCTATTCTGTTTTTATATATTATATATCTATTCTAAAGTTATGAATTTAAAATAAAAAATTAAATTATTGATAATCGTAAAAATAGTAATTCCTTTATTTTAAAATTATCATATTCATAAAGATTTTTATAGTGGTTTAAAGAATACCTTTTTTTAATGTTATATTTCAATTATTGTACATGAAATACTATTTTAAAATATGTATGCTAATCAACAATAAAAAAACGATCTTGATAATTTGTGTTCATATATACTAAAAAATTGTTTTGTATTTATAATAATGTTTATAAAAACAATTGACAACTTAAAAAAAACACTTATCATTTTTTTATTTAAATATCAGACATCGTCTGTACTTATCAACTCATGTAAATGCATCAAATTATGCTAGCTAACCAACTTAAGTAAGACTTTAAATATTATATATTAAATTTTGGAGCATCGTGGGTACTATTTATTCAACAATGTTGTCAAAGTAGCGCGCTATTCTTATTCGTAGCTTTAGCGATAGAGCGCTACATTTTTTTAAAGGTGGCTTTATGCTATTCCTAAATTAATCCATTAAAGGTCAGGCTTTTCAGCTGATGAAATGCCTAATTTTTAAATATTATAGTCTAATTAAGAAATCCTAAAAAGAATCCACAAGTAAAAACATCCTAATAGAAAATTTGAACTTATATCTGTTTTATGCCTCTGACCATTGAGATATCTCCGCCGGCTATTGCCTGGGACAAATTGCCTTGCCAAAATGAGTCCTACTATGGGGGCCTAGCTATTATTCTATTTAGGATAATAATAAAACCGTTTTAAAAAATTATTTAAACTTTGTTTTGTTCCATGTCAATTCAGACTTTTATCGCTAAACACTTTTTCGAAACTTTCATAACCATTTTATAGAGAAACTTTTATCGCTCCACATTAACTAATACTTATCCGCAAAGACAATATCGCAGAACATGCGAATTTTTTATAGCAAAACCTTTAAAGCGAATACATTACAGCGAATCGCGAAGACAATGTAGCGAAAACTATTTCACGAAGATATTTGCGAATTAAATATCGCGAGGACATTATCGCGATAATTGCTAATAGTGACTATTATATTTTGAAAAATTTATTTTTATGATCATATGCTTTTCCTCGAAGTCTTATTTTATAAGAATAGCGCACAAGTAACTCAGGCTTTATTAATATATAAATCATTGAGTTCATTAGTTAAATCTTGATCCTTACTGGCGAAATTGATATCTGGGTGGGGCCAATATTTATGTCTGATGAGTAATTAATATTTATAAATTCCAATCAGTTTTGCCAGTAACTAACCAAAAACAGAGTTAGCAATTATATTTATTGAAATATGGAAAGAAGACAGAGGGGATGTCAAAATCTTCAAATGAATTAGAGTTGCTACTATATCAGAAAGTTATATCGATATGCATAATAATTGGGAGGCATATAAAAAATGTGGTATGAATTTACATTAAACATTTTTTTAAATATATCATATTAAAAGTTATATATAATTTACATCTCAGGTTTTATCTCTGGCTTCCAATAAAGGAACAACAGTTTTCTCAAGAAATTTTTTTTAAATGAAATTCCCTTTATTTACACAACAATTTAGAAAAAAATTTTTAAAAAAATTAACACGGAAAATTTAATAAAATAATCTGAGAAAATTTTGAAAAATTGTTTAACAAAATCGTCTATGATTTTTAAAAAAAAATCGGAGAAAATAAATAAGAATTCTTAGCTTTCATTATTTTTTAACTTGATTGGAAAAATTTCAAAGCATTTCAGAATATTTGTTGAAATTTATTTTATTGTCAAATGCACATTTTTTAAATTTATGTTGGAGGGGGTGGGGGTCGGGGTGGGGGGGAGGGGGTATTTTAACTTATTGGGATAAAAACATGAACCAAAATGTCCTCTTCTTCTACAATGAATAAATGAGAAGAGGCTAGAAAGAAAATGGCTTCTTTATTTTTTATCATATCAGATAAAAGTAGATACTTCTTGACAATAAATAACAAAAGATCCTTAAAACATTTCGCGTTTTTAGCTAAAATCGATTCGTAATAAAGTATTCGCGATATTCGAGGAAATAAATTTGCAATAATGGGTTAGCTATATTGTCTATATTAGTTTTGCGATTTACATTCGAGCTTTGCTGAATTGACCTGATACGCTTTGTTAGGATATCCTGAACGCTATTTTAAGTGGATTGCTATGCAGAAGAAGAGACTCGAAATTTTTTTACATTTAATTCGACTATTTTTGCCTCATTATTTAACCCATATTATAAATTAAATTCTATTTATGAAGATTTCGCTTAAAATAAAAACGGGCTTCCCCAGTTATACAATAGTCAAAAAAAATCAACCGAAGGATGATGATTATTTTCATTTAAAGGTTCTATTAGTTTATTACACAAATTCACCGATATCACTAAAAAACCGATTTGAAATTTATATTGATTTTATTTACCATCTATCTTTGAACCAACCAATTTTCACGAATGATTAAAGTAGGGTTTCGAATTGAACCCAAACTTGGAGAATAAAACCAGGGTTTTGGAAA